CCAACACTTGTGCTCTAAGGATGGGCTATAAATGCTTCCTTGGCACCTGTGGTATTCCCATATGCTCCCAGGCAGCGTGTACTGGCTCTCTACATCATGCACTTAGGAGAGGCCTCACCTTAACTAGGGCAAATTCATTCCTCCTGCATTCAAAACCAGATGATTTGTGAAAGGATAAACTCTTCTTTTACGTGCTCTTGAGTTTAATACCATCCTTCACATGTAGGAAAGAAAAGCTATATTGGTATAGACAGCGTCCCTGCTCTGAGAAATGTCTGCAGCAGATGCGAGCACACTTGAAGCACGTAAAGTCCACCTAAAATTTCTGAACCTATCACTTGAAGCTTTCTGCAGTCTCCAAGCAGAATCATGGAGGAACCAATGCTCACATGTTCACAATGCTTCATTCACGTGAAAGCTCCAGGGTGGGTACTAAATGTACATAAGTGCAGTACTGCACCAAGTCTATAATTTGCTTGCAATCCTGATTTTCAGCTTACTTTTGAGAGGTTTTCATGGCTCTAGTGGTCCTTTTGAATGTGTCAATATCTTTAGAAGTCACAGCCAGAATAAGGAAGGCTCTGTTTTCAGAGCTTCTCCAAGGTTATTCCTCCAAAAAGACAAAAGCCCTGGGAAGTACTGGAAAGTTTTGTGCAAGCTGTCTCATTCAGTGCCAAGGTTGCAATGTGGCATGTGGGGATTTGCAGACACGATACCTCACTCTAACTCACGTAGGGGAAAACAAGCCCTGCAGTTAATATTTCTCAGAAAAATCAAAATATTTGCAAGCAGACCCCTGCTCAAAGTCAAGCAGAGCCACACAGCTGCAAACTGGCAGAACCAGCTTGTTGCATAGCTTGCAAGAATTAGAGAATTAGACCTTTTTCCACCTCTGCCTTTGAAAACAAGTTCTAAAACTGGCACTAGTCCAAGCAAAAAGGAAGAGTTCCTGCACTTACACAATTATGTACAGGTTGAACTTATGTTCTGAACTATATTGTAGACAGGATTCTTTTGAAGGACTTACTGTTGTAATGTGTTCAGTATACATTTGATATTTCTTCTCTCAACAGATTATTGGGCACATGTGCCTCCACTTTGGAAGGAAGGAAGGAAGGAAGGAAGGAAGGAAGGAAGGAAGGAAGGAAGGAAGGAAGGAAGGAAGGAAGGAAGGAAGGAAGGAAGGAAGGAAGGAAGGAAAGAGAGAGAGAGAAAGAGAGAAAGAGAGAAAGAAATGAAAAGTGAGAGGAATTACACTGGCAATGCTGGAATGACCTGGACAGACAATAAAATGTAAGGTTTTGACTCCAGCTTTTGTGATTTGATCCTACACCCAAACAATTGCTTAGAATCTTGTACATCTAACTTTAGGCACTGTAAGATTATTTGATAAAACCAATTAGGCAGGAAGTTCAGCCAGCTGCTCATAGGAGCCTTCAGGGTCTTAAAATTTAAGAAAGATGGAGCAAGCAAGCTAAGAGATGAACCAAAAAAGCGCAACTTAGACAGAAGAACATGTGGTTTCTCTCCTGTCTAAATAACCTAGTATTGAAACTATGCAACCTTTCGCAGAAGCTGGTCCCAAAAATCACACGACTTCCCTCTCACTTGGCCTTTGCAGTCTGTACCTCACTCCGTGGAGCAGCCTCCTGCAAGGCAGGCTCAGCCAGAGCTCTTGCAGTGTTTGCAGCCCTTGAACTGCTGCGGTCTCCCCCAACAGCCTGATTTTGAGCTTAATGTCCTGGACCATCATGTGCTCTCATGATATGAGTGATTGGCTCCAAAAGTGCTAACCAGTGCTGTTTTTTTCATTGCTGTCAAATGGTTAGCTCTGAATGGTCACCAAGGAAGGAGAAAACTAGTCTTGCAGATGGAGTTTAATTAAAAAGCCAAGATACAGATATGTGCAGCAGGGGGATGGGAAAGCACTTTGCTAAACTGCTTAGAGCTTTATCATTGCTTAGAAACCTCCAGTTTAGCATATGCTGTTATGGAATTGCTAATAAGAGCATCAGGGTTACTAATGTATGACAGAGGCAATTGGAAACCCTATCATCAGCACTGACACACCATTACCGTAGATAAAGTTCAAAACATCTGTTACTTATTTTAATAAGGAACATGCCTGTGGTCAAACATATCAAATACTTTCTACTCACCTCCAGTTTGGTCAGCCTTTGCCCATAGACTTTTCCATCCATTTCTAACATTTTGTTCTTTTTCTCACCAAGAAAGGTCGAAAAACAGGGGAACAACCCAGAAAAATATCCCACTCTCCTCACTGCAGCGAGATCAGAGGCTTCTGTGAATGTTGTGGTTTTGGGGTGGGATACGCTGGAGGATGTCAACCCTTAGTTGTGCTACTGCTTCTACTCATTTCTTGGTTTCCAAACACGGCTGTGCACTTGCCCCGAGACACAACCGCCAAGGTGCCCATCGGGATGGGGCGAGTGGGGCTGGCAGCCCAGAGAACCTTTTGGGAAGGGGCTCTCCCATTTCAGAGCAGAAGCGACTGCCAGATGAACCAGCCTTCCCTGCAGGTCCTTGCTTTACTGCTGTGCTGTAGTTACAGTGCTGCATTTTACTTTATTTTTCTGTATGTCTTATTTCAGGAGGAATTAGATACATCTTAGTAGTGTGAGGCCTATTTAAGAGAGGGTCTGTTCAACAGCTATGCAATTTTATGCTTTTATAGTCTCATTTCTCTTCATGTGGAAGCCTTAATAATGAGTTATTTGATTAGCAGCAATGAGCTAAGTGCTCTGTAATACAAAAAAAATTAAAAAAACAGCTAATTCACGGGGTTTATACATCCATAAATTAAAAAGAAATGGCTTTGCATTTTTTTATCCACTTGTTTATTGCATTGAAGAGAGAATAATTTAGAAGATATATATTTGTATATAGATAACAAGAGATGAGTAACATCACTAATCGTTTTACTCAGTTCATTACTTAGAGCACAGCATAAATAAATTCGACTTACCATCCCGCAGTAGCCATTGATTCCCAAGTTAATCTCGTTTTGGGGACAGCCTTCGTTATTACACCGTAATGGTGAAATGTGGTGCCTTGGTGGCACGTGCCACCCCAGCGCAGGAAGATGTGGAGCTAAGGGAAGCTGTGTCGGTGAGCCCATTACCGCGGCGCCCTTCCCACCACAACAACATAAGATTGTTATTAAGAACCGAGTGATTCGGACTGAAATGCTGTGTCTGCAGTCCAGCAATGTGTTTTCTCAGGACCTTGCAGGCTGTGCTAGAGCCACTACTGCGGTTATGCACCACGGCAGCTGTGCCACCTAATTACGCTCCCTCTGCCTATGAAGTTGGCTTCTGTTCGAAGTGACACATGGAATTGGTGCTTCAGCTTGCTACCCTTCCTAAACATTGTGTCCAAACCAACCACTTTAGTTGAATTGAGGTGCCCTAGCACGCAGCTGAGCCCAATGTGTCTGCACCAAGAGGGAGTTTTGTTGGCCAGGCCAACATAAGCCTTAGTTGACAAGATAAGGCTGGTGCCCAAAAGTGCATAAGAGCCCTGCCATAAACCAGGCTATGGTGCCTACTACTGTATCTCTTTTATACAGCAAAGAAATATTTGCCTGGTCCTTGAAAAATATGCAAGGTGTAAAACTGTCCTGCAATTATTCTCCTTGATACTGTAAACTGGTACTGCTGTGCCCCTTCCTCGAGAAGATGGGGACTGGCCTCCTTTAAAGTCATTGTGTGTGGTTTCTGCTTATGAAAAGCAGTTTCAAGTCCTTGCCTCAAGCACTCGATCTGCTGATTTGACTAACTGGGAGATGAAGCTAGTAACAACCATTCTTAAAATTTGGACACTCTTTCTGTTTGTTTGCTTGTTTTTCCATTTGATTTGTTTGATGACATTTCAGGCTGTTAGCATCAGTGACCCTTGGAGGTCACTGGTTTCAGAGCACTGGGGCCTTGCATCTCGCTGGGCTCCCTCGCTCTGGAGCGGCTCTGGGTGCAGGCCCAGAGGATGCCATGGGTGGCTGCCATTAGCGGGGAAATGCGAGTTATTAGATGGTGCGCAATCACCTTTGAGTTTTCTGGTATAGAAGTTTTTCCCATGCTGAACTGTGGGAAATATTGGTGTTATTTGAGCTGGTAGATATTTGTTTAGAATTCAGATCAGTACATTGCAACAGCCACCGTACATAATTTGTATCATTAAGTTTCTGCAAGGTTTGGAAGGCTTTTTAAAAACCTGAGGTCAAATAAAGCCACAACCTTTCACTCTGTGAGGCCAAGTTTATTATAAATGTCAGGTAGTTCTTAAAATAAGCCTTAGTATTTTTTTAAAAAGGCTTTTACACAGCAGGTACTACCCCTGCTCTTCAGAGGAGATGGAGAAATCCCCTGTAGGATTAATGGGAGGGAAGGGATCACTGCGGCATTGCACAAAGGGCATCATGACCTGAATCAGAAGCACAACTCATGCTGCTCCTAACCAGTGAAGGCTTTTGGGACACAGGGTCACTGGCAAACAGCCAATAGCTGCTTATTTAAATCCTGCTCGGATATAGATTTCAGGGAAAAAAAAAAAAAAAAAAAAAAAAAAAAAAGCCAGAGTAAATGATTTATGATAGATCTACACAAGCAAATCCAGTCATGCAGCAACTCCTGCCTGACTGGAGCAGTTTTTCAGACGTACAGGGTGTTTTTGCTTCCCTACCCCATCCCGAGACTCCCTTTCCCTTTGCCAGCGGTGCAGTGCGAGGCTCTCCTGTGCACGACTCCCCCGGCACAGGTTTCTCTCGGAGCTCCAGGGCCCTCCTGCTGAGGCCTCCTGGCTCCTCCAGCCCCCACTGGGCCAGTTCCACCACCTGGGCCAGTGTTGCAGCTGAGCTCGTCATCGGGGACCCTGCTCCAAGTGAGATTTCCCATGAGTTCTTCCTAAGACCCCATCAGCAGCTCAACCAGGAAAAGTCCAGATTCTCTTCAAGTGAATAATATATTCACTGCTGTCTGCGGGATATGCAGAGAAATGGGGATGGATCTGCACCTGCTGAGAACGTTCAGGGTTCGTGTGAGCTGAAGGGGCGCACTGATCACCCATGGGCACCAAGTGCCATCACACTGGACTATTCTTTCCCAGAAAAGTGAGGGAACAACGTTAAGCAGTGGAAAATTGATAAAGTGCCCTTGATGTTACATTTATAAATGTTTCTCCTCTGAGTTTACTTGCTATTTCCTTCCGATCTATTTAACCCTGCAGGCCACTAACTTATTTTCCCAGAGTTAGGACTACAGCTCTGCCATCAGCATAGTGCTTAGGGAAGGTTAACTCTCACTGATAAAACAATGAAGCTATACTGGTACATTGGGAGCAAAAAGATCCTTTTTTATCTTTTTTTTTTTTTTTTTTTTTTTTTTTAATCAAAGCTCTGGGAAAGGGAAAGGCTCCATCTAATATAGGATAAGAATTTAAAAGATTTGAATTTCCTAGATGCTTCAAGAAAATCAATAGCCCTGTAGAGATTGAAATGGGTGTTGCTACTGGCAGAACTTGTTCAGCACAAAGCTGGGGTCATTAGTCTTGTTTTATTCAGTGCCCAGTTAGCAATAGCATGCACAAGCGCAGCTTGCAGCTAACCTGCCATGAGTCCCGTGGCTGCGGAGGCTGCAGCAGGTGGGATGGGATTTTGCAGGCTGTGTGACTAGGAGAGATGGGAAGTTTCAGGGTCCTTGCAGGGAACAGAAGGTATGCCAGGATTGGGAAAGATCTAGGAAATTTGGAAAGGAAATGGGGTTATTTTTTATTAAATGGGAATGTGGAACTGTAGATTTATGAAACCTTTTGTAAAGTAACATTTTAATGAGACTTTGTTCAGTGCAAGAAGTCAAAGCACAGTCTCCAGTGGCCTGTAGTAAACCCTGATTTTCTCTTTACTAAAGACATTTCCAAAAATGTTTATGAATATATAAATCATGTATTGGAATTGCAGATAACTCTGTACATCTGCAGTGACACTTGCCAAGGGCAGGAGATAGACTGGGGCATTCACTGGGCCATGACATGAAGGCACCTTCATTTTTCTCACGCTTAAAGTGAAAGCAGTATAACCCAGATTACCCTCTCCTGCCTTTTAATTCGTTTCTTCCTATTACCATCCTGTCCCTTATGCCCCTTCTAGCCTCAGTCTCCAGAACCAGGATGCATTCTTGAACTTACAGGTCTTAAACTGATGTAAAATATTGCTATTTGATCTCTGATTCAATTAATCTTGTTTCTCCCCTTACAGTTTTCTTCTTTTCTTTGGCACTTTTTCTATCAAAACATGACAGACACCAGAACTCAAGGGTCAGGATATCTTTGGATATAGAGCTGAAACAGTCAGCCAGTTCCTTGTGGCTCCTACTAATCCTTAGTAGCCCAAGACCTACAATTGCGATGTAATATAGCCAAGCTTATCCAAGACTGGGTTATCCAATATCTGGGGAGATATTTCTCACTTTACTTCCGTCTTCTAGTAGGATATCTGCTAATAATACCTGGATATTGGAGTCCAATGACATGATGACTCTTAATGCCTTAGTTAAAGAAAAGAGTAACTCACCTTCCTTGGCACTGAGCCACAAGAAATAGCCCTGGCTGAGGAAAACATCCTGAAGTGTGTGGGAACCCTTGGTGTAAAATACCTTTAGCACATTAAGTCCTTGGGGTCTGAAAAAAATCTTGGCTTCTTCACTTGGTAGTTAATTAGGATTGATGTTGATAATTGACATGATTAGGGCAGTAGCTTGAAGGGTATTTTGTAACATGCACTCAGATCTTTCAAATGAGGTCATTAATAAACCAAAGTGGCTTGGAATTCTCAAATTAATATTTGTTCTACCAAAGCCAAGCAAATCAAAGCTAACATTTTAATTTTAAATGAGAAGGCCAGCAAAGTTAGCAGCAGAAGTTAATCTCTCTTGATGATGGATCCAAATCTTTGTCCAAATAATCTCATGGTACTGACAAAGGATCCAGGGTATTTTATGGCCCTTATTATGCATGTGAGCACTCAGAATGACACAAACTGACAGTTGGTAGAGGGTGATTATTGTCAAAGTTTCATAACTACGAAGGGGAGATTTATGGGAGATGACACAAGGTATTCACCTCCTGTGCTCCCAGACGTTTGCATTTAGAGAAGCACTTGAAGCTCTCAGCAGATGGCTTGCTATCCAACGGGGTCACCTGGGGGGATAAGGTAAGCAACATGAAAAGTGCAAGTCCATTGGGTTCAGGTACTGACTGCAGCAGGCATCTTGCAGACTCAGACCCTTCAAGAAGGACTCAAGACAGCAATCTTGACAGCAAGAAGTTCTCATGAACTTTTTTTCTTTCTTTTCTGTTTTCTTTCTTTCTTTCTCTTCCTTTCCTTTCTTCATTACCTTCTCAGCTCTGACACTCGTTGGATCTCTGGGAAGCCCATATAATTTACTAACTCGGCAAAAAACTAATTCAGCTGAAAAGGAAGACTTCTCTGCTGGACAGAGGGATGTCCTTTAACATTAGGGGACATAATGCTATCTTAACATTTGACTCATGCAAGTTAACAGGGATGATTTAATTGTGGAAATCCTCTACTTTCTCATGAGCTGAGAAGCTTCAGCCAGCGTCTTTTCATCCTTCTCTCTCCCCTTACCCAGTGCCTCAAACTGTGGCTGTTCCCAAGCTCCTCATTGACAAGATCTTGCTGACAGATATTCAAGAAACCAAATTGCTGTACTCTTCCTTTAGGCAGCTCCAAACTCACTTAGAGGAGCTTTAATCCAAAAGCTGTTAAATGGCCGTTTTACCAAAGTGCATTGTAAAACAGTAGATGTAAGTGCGCGGGAGGATGGGAAGAAAAAAGAAGGCAGCATCATGAAGAGTTTCAGAAGCATCAAGCAACAGTCTAGAAGATCCCACTCCATGACAGAATAACAAACTCAAGAAGCTGAATCCAAAAAAAATGTACTGGAAATCCAGGGTTGGAAGTTATTCAGGAAAGAGAAGCTTGAACAAGTGGGTCTAACTGGATTAGACTCAGTTACAGTGTAGAGGATAAATTTCAGCCTAAGCTGTGTCAAGCAGCTACAAGCATTAATAAGAAAACAAGGAATATTAAGAACTATTAAGAAATATTAAGATGAAACAGCTCATCTCGTTGGTACCATGTCTGAGGGAAGCAAGCAAACGGCTGCACAGGGGATGAGAAGGCAGAGCAGCAGAAGGGGATAAATAGCCGATCTCTGGAGACTCAAGTCTCTAACCACTCTGGCTAAGGGCCCAGGCTCAAACCAAATCATTGCTGCTGTAGAGTCGGTTGCTGTACACCAGCAGAGCCATGGCACATTTGTCTGCCAACGTGCACATTCTGAGCCATGATACATGCAAGAGGCAAGTGCACCTTATTTAAAAATTACCTTAGAGTATGTTGAGTTAGGGCATCTTCTTCCATATGCATCAAGGGCTATGATCACAGTCATGGAAAAATTAGATAAGTCTTGGTAATTTATCAAGCAGTAATAACCACATTGAGCCCAGACCACACCTTGATAATCTTCAAGGAACTTTCCTTCTAAAACTACTAGTTGTTTTCCTCTTAAATATTCTTACAAAACAAAATGTTTTTTTAAAAAGCAAGATGCATATAAATATTACAGGGAAAAATTGCAAACACTGTTTATTTTCAGCCAGCAACTTGTGATATCACTAGCAGAAGAGAGCACACAGCCTTAGCTGACCGTTCTGATATTTAGAGTTTTTGTCAAGAAGAGATTGAAATTAAGTGTTCAAATCTTGTTGTTACTTCATAGCTGCCAAAGGTTTTGTTTATTTTAAAACTGTAGTGGCACAGACAAATGTAAAGCAGCTCTTGGTACGCAGAGACATGAGGCAGCTGCAGAACATCATTACAGCCCATACGGGCTGTAAAATTTGTTGCAAAACGTCCTCGGGCACACTCCAGCCATTAAACTGTCGTCTTTGCATCTTGTGTATTGATGGAGCAGGGCAGCCAAACTTTCTCTTCTTACAGTTATTTTTACATCAGGACTTTTATTTATAGCAGCCTACAATCAGAAATTGTAGCAAGTGTGTCTGACTTCTTTCCCAAGCTGGGTGGTTTGGTTATTAACTTACAGGCTTGAGGCAAACTGCTTGATGAAAGGGAGCTTCTTCTGGCACAAAGAGCATAGAAAATATGTCACTCGGGTTAGATTAAGACACAAAGCACACCTTACTTGAATAATGTGCAAACCCAGGGGTCTACATATCTCTCTGGGTTAAAAAATAAAAATAAAAAAGCCATAACCCTAATCTCCCTCAAACCCAGATTGTGCCTGTCTGTCTAAATTAATTCTCACGTTGTGCCTGATGGTTTCTGACCCACACAGCCTCCTTGCTCCCTCCAGCAGGGCCATATATGCAGCTTCACTGAACACACTGCAGCCACGGGCTGGTCAGGGTGGCCCCAGAGGGCAGCCAGGCTGGTGGGGAGTGTCCCAGCAAAACGAGACCGTCGGGCTGCCCTGCGGAGAGGCGCGCGACACTTCACAGCCATCCGTCTCTGAGACTATGGGGAAGAAGAAGGGGGAAAGTAGTTACAAAACAGCTCGTATATAGGGGGAAAACACACCTGGAAGAACAGCGCATGTCTAGCATCTCTGACCTGATACGCATTATAGAACAGTTTTCCCCATTTTAAAATAAAGTCACATCATTTCTCAGACAATCAAGGAAGAAACAAGGTGAATTTTCAGATCTATTGAATAGAAAGACATTGAAATGATCATGATGAATGCCTTTACATCGGTGTTTTTTTGGTCTTTTTCCCCACAGGAGAGAGACAGCCCTTCCTCCTCGTGCTGGAAATGGGATGCGCCAGCTGGAGGAGCGGTTATCCAGGCAGGAAAGGACCATGGCTCTTCTCCTCGAGCAGGCTGCCCACATCAAGGATGACTTGCTCTCCTGCCTCCGAGGGCCCCGAGGGGAGCAGCAAGGGGACGTAGCTGCCCAGCAGCTCCTGCAAAGCCACTTCCAGGCCATCGTGGGCACGGTCAAGCAGCTCTGCCGGGACGTTGAGGTAGGTCAACCTTGCCACATCCATCCCCTCCATTCCCACTTCTCCGTGTGCCAGCTTTCCCATAGATACAGAGGAAATTGCATCGCTTTCACTCCTACAGCAGCATGTGTAGTTTCACAGCAAAATAGGAAAGTAAGGATTAGGAAAAATAAAGTAGATTAATGAATTGTTTGCCCCGTTTAATGAAAAGGTTCAGATTCTCTTTGCTGACATTTTCAAGGTTTGGATTCTGTTTAACTTTTGTTGAAGTGCAGGAGGTTGAGCCTGAGAAAGATAAGAAACAAGGTTTGTTTACCACTTAACTACAAGCTCCATATTTGGTTTTATTTCTTCTCTAGACACAGATGTTCTACTACCTTAAATAACTTCTGTATGCACCATAACAAGAATTGCTAAATCTTCATTAAGCTGAATTCAGGCTAGAATGAAAGTCCATTTCTTGAATCATTTATTTCAAAGAAAAAAAATAAAAGATAATCTATTTGGAGAATGCACAACCTTGTCTTTTCCCAGCTAAATAGAACTAATCACTTCTTTTATTTGCTGTTATTGTAGGGACAGATATCAAATTTACAAATGTTTTGAGGTTTTTCTGGATAGGGTTTAAAATAAGAAAACTATGAAAAAAAATGTCATGATTTGTTTTACCCTTTGAAGTGCTAAATTCTTGCCACTCTAAACTCACAATACATTTTGTTTTCCATGTACTCAGAAAAGAAAATGTACTTCTATATATTTATCTTAACAGATATGGAATCACAGCTCACATGAAATTAATCTGAGAACCAGAGCATTTTACACTGGTTTTATTTTATATATATAGATACAGCCATGTATATAGATATGTAGGTATATGCCATGTATATAGATACAGCCAATATATAGATACAGCCATGATGAGGAACCCTCTAAAACCCCACATTTGTTTGAAATCCTTTAAGTCCCTGTACTATCTGGATCAAGCATATACAGACTTGTATTATCAGAAGAGTATCTGCAATGCTGTCAGCTCTGTGAATCTAATCCTTTTCCTTATTTAGAAATTTCTCTTTGTTAAATCTAATCCCAGGTGATCATTCACTTTGTGTTTTCTGCCTGTGAGGACCTAAGGATGAAGCACTGATAGCACTACTGAGAGATGGCAATTAAAATCACTTTCACAGGAAAAACAGTGCCCGAGCCACTGCCATTTCTCAAGCACTGAAGTCAAAACAAAAGCAATTCCTTTGTGTTTTTCCATGAGCTATATTTAAATTTTATACTCAAGACAACAGTATGTTCACACAAGGACTGAAACTATCGCAAATCCTCAAAAAATACTGCGGACCAAGCCTGCTTCAATACAAGCCTCAGCTGTCTGCACTAGCAGTTCAATGGGACTTCCAGCTTTTCTGCTGCCTCAGCTCTGCAGGAGACCTCAACAGCAGGGCCAAGCACCAGTGGCTGTCACAGGGACAGACGGTATTTTTGGCACCACTGCAGGACTGCAATCTCAGTACCTGTCCTGGAGAAACCCAATGCCTTTGCAGAAGGCACCTGACAGACCCTCTTGTTACTGCTGCTTCATGAGCTCAAAGGGCAAGATGCAACCAGAAGTTGCACCTTTCCACAGAAGTGCTCCTCAGCAGAGCTCATTTCTGGCTGCAGTTAAATTCTCCCTAGGTGCTCCTTATTCCTACTAATCCCACTTTTCCTCAGGGGCACAAAGAACTTGAATCATTAGCTCCCCCACAGCAAGAGGCAGCCAGGTTTCCTGTATATGTGTACATATATATATATACACACACACATACATACATACATATATATATAGTATTATATTATATATATATATATATATATGCCCCACTAAGTGCAACAAGGGCCTCACCTGAGGCTGGAAATCAAGGCTACTTCGTCAAGGTGAATCAGGGGCATAATGTGAAGTATTAGATCATCCAAAGGGAAATGTGAGTCATACGTGGTTCAAATCTTTCTAAAAGTGGGACTACTATTCTTTAAAAACCCTACCTTAAGATAGGTTGTGGCATACTGCTGCCATCAGGAGTGAGGCAGATATGAGGAAATATGTCTATCTGAGAGAGCCACAAAACTATCTGGGCTGCTGCTACTGCTCAGAAACATCAAGGTGACAGCTGGAAAACAAACAAACAAAAAAAAATGAAGACGTCTTTACTATAGGATTGGAAATCCTGGGTATTAAAAACTTGGGGGCAGAGGAGAAATGTGCTCGACATCCTCTCTCCAGTAACAATTATAAACTACAGACGTGCCAGCCAAAGGGCTGCTCACAGAGGAGTTGCTGAGCTGGAGGCAGGTTCTGGAGCGTGTGCATCTCCCTGGCCCGCCGCGGGGAAGGTGGCGTTGCCGGCAGCCCCGGGAGCCAGCCGAGGAACTGCAGTATCGATTTTCTCTCCATAAACAGGAGGCTGCTGCTCTCCATCCTAATGAGCGAGTGCCTCGTGCTGCTCGTGCCGGTGGGAGAGCACTTGTCCTTTTCCATCTTTGTGGATCTACTGCATCACTTTTGCATTGTCAAACACCCTGCAAATGAGGCATTTGGGTCGTGCAGTACGTTCCACCCTGTGAGAATAGTGTTTTCCACCAAAGAACCAAAGTAGGAATGCCTGGTCACAGCCCAGTGTTTCAGACACCAGCACTCAATATGCATGAGGACCAGAACTACTCAGAAGCAACTCCATATATGACATCTTTTAATTAAACTTTACTCCACAGACTTTAGCCTTGAACTTTTCTCTGCTCACCTATGCCCCACACATGACAAAAGCTAGAGCAGCTCCTTAGCCTGAGGAATCCATGGGGATGATCCAAGTGGCATTGCAGCCCACACTGCAGGAAGGGAGCACCAAGAGGGGACCCTTTGCATGTCCCCCTGGTCTGCAGCCTCTCCTGGACCCCGGGCTCAGCAGCGGTGCTCAGCTCTGCCCCAGGTCACCGTTGCTGCAATGCCCCGTGGCTGCCACAAAAAGCAGCTATTGACTCCTAGCTATTGACTCCCTCCCTGAGACACTCATGTGGCAGAGGGAAAAAAAGGGAAAAAAAGTGGATGTTATTCATTAACGTCTGCATGTGCTGCAAATGTGTGCAGAGGAGAGCAAGGTGGTTTGAGATTTTCCTTTTCCTAATTTTTTAGTGATGGACTTTTCATCATAAACCATGTTTTTTAATGGAAAGGTAGGAATATCATTCACATAGATGTAGGTTTCTAAAAGAAAAATATAGCATTTACTTCATTCTAGAAAGAAAAATAAAGTTTTAGAACTACTACCTCACATGGTGCTTTGGACTCTTATGAAATGAAAGACTGGAAAAGTGTAAAACCAAACCAGGATTAACGGGCTTGATTTTACAGGTTTTGGAAATGCAGATAAGGACCAGGGATAATGCCACACTAGAAAGTAACTTTGCTCTTCGAAGTCTGCACCGTAAATACATCCAGGGTTTTGGAGACCTACGTGGAAGAGTGGCAAGGTAAGGAATACCTAGTGGCTAAGATTCCCATTTCTGCTAGGCTATTTGTGGAAAGAAGCTTCAGAACGGGCATGCGTGTACTTTGCACCTGTTTTATATCTCATTTTAGAGCCAGATTTGTGCTTGTTATTCTCAGAGCAAATGAGAACCCCATTCTCCATGTTAATGAAACTATCGAACCAGTGAAAAAAAAGTGTGCTTATCTTCCTATCTCTCTCATTCTTTATCTCAAATTTAACGTTTTAGAAAATTTCTTTTTCTACAGCCTGGATAGTTTTTAGCTGAAGCAATTATTTCCTCCTACTTAAACTGTCCTGTCATTTCAGTAAAATATGATGTAGAGTTTGTTATTTTCTCTCTTGGAAAGTAGGTCTTATCAAGGAAGCTTTATTTCTTCCTTTGATGAGAATGTAAGGTGTCATTGGTACAAGCAATTGTATGTATGTAATGCACATAGACTTCTGTAGGGCACTTAGTAGCACAAAATATTATGATTAAAACAAAGACCAAGTAAAATGTTGCCATGCTGTATCATGGCAGTGCACAGTTTTAGGACCGCCTCAATGGATATATCAGAAAATGTAGTGATGAAGGAAGAAATCTCCCTGAACCAAAATATTTCTTGTGGGGTTCTCCAGAGACTGTTCAAAAGCTTCTCACAGTTTTTGAGTAATTCAGAAACATGTATAAATCACTGTCCGTGAAACCTGTGGACAACACAAACAGTCAAGTGAAAAGACGGTAATAGAGGTTAGCCTGGACCGTTGGCTATGTGGGATGTTTGAAACAAAATGCATTTTATAAGACCAATTGAGTGTTTGTTCCACTACTGAATGCTCCCTGAAAATCACTGAAAGGCTTTGGGATTATGGCAGCTGAAAAGCTTTCCTTGAGCTCCTACAGTGATGTGGTATCAGAAGTGCCAGGAATACAGTCTTGGCACAAGAGAGACAGAGGACTTCCCAGTAAGCGGGAAGATTGCTTTAGCTCTATATTCAATGTGGATGAGACGGATACGAATGTACGATTCCAGCACAGAGTCCGCTGAAATGAAAAACTTGATATACTGTAAAGAGTCACAAATGCGATGGTGGGATGAGAATAATTTCTGGTTGGGAGAAGTATAAATCTGTGTGTAGTGTGTGCATGTATGCATATATATACATATATACATATATGTATATAAAAGAATCCAGAGAATTCTTCATTTCCATGTATAACTAAAGAGAGAGAGGAAGGAAAAAGATGGGGTACCAAAGGCCCCCGTCTTAACTACTAAACAAAAGGCCCAAGAATCCAAAACAGTCTTAAGCCAACACATTCAAACTTGGCACAAGGAAAGATACACTTTTTTTTTTTTTAACCTTGTGACTGATTGAATTGGAACAAAGTAGGAGTAGGAGGACCTGTAGGCTTCTCTATGTGTTCAAATTCAGGGTGGCAGACTTCCAAGGAGATATGCTTTTAGCAAACAAAAGTCATAAGATCCAATGGATGAAGTGTAGTCTCACCACTTTCCCTCTGTTTTTCCAGACTGCCTATAGGCATTTGCCTATAAAACAGGAAAAACGGAAAGTCGTTGGTGAAATCTTGGCAGTGCCAGGAGTTCACCCCAAAGCTGCCCCCATGGTGCCAGACGAGGCCCCAGACGGGGCAAATCCGGACATTTCTGTTGTAGCCAGTGGAGTCATCCAAAGAGAGCTGATGGGGACACTAACCCTCACCTGTCACTTGGGGAGCAGATGATGCAGCTCAGAAATGCAACAATACATTTTCACTTCTATTTCTAGAGCTGTGCTTTCTGGAGCTGAAAGGTCTCATGCTCTCCTCATCCTAAAGGCAATATCTTTGGGTTTTATACCTGGTGTGATGATTAGGTAGGCTTAGAACACAGTCTGCTCTAGAAAATAGAGTAATTGTAAAAACAAAAGGATGACTGGTCCACTTCTGCTTGCATTAAAAAAAATGCAGAAGAAAAAAAGAGGTAGGGGATTCATGGATATCCAGAATAAAAGTTTTTATGAGCTCCTCCTTCCTATTGCTTCATCCATTCCTTTTTTGACTGAACCCAAATGAGAGACTGCAGAAACGGATGATTGGCCTTTCCCACTGGGACAGAGGGACTGGAGAAGAGATCTCAAAATATACGTATGAAATTGCACATAAAAGATTATCCTGAGGGCACTGAAATTACTGTCATCCTATTCTAGAAATAAAAGTCCTACAGGAAAAAAAAAGAGAGAGAGAAGAAGAAAATGTCATGCTTTCTAGTTTCATCAGAACATACTGATATTGCTCTGCCAGAGCTGGCTTTCTTGTTGCATCTCAACAGTCATATTGTAACGTGAGTTAGATGTGAATAATTGTCGCTAGGCTAAAGCATGGCTAAATCAGCTTTAAGTGATTCATGAGTTGCCAGCACTTCCTCCTTTGGATTGCCACTGAGGTTTCCCTCTGGAAACGCCTGCCTCCAGCACACTGGTTCAGAAGCCAGCCACTGAAAGCTGAAGGAATACTATCAGAGCGATGAACAATATTTTGTTTTTTTCCTATTTCTTTGATCTTTGTTTTTAGGATAAGATACCTTTGTGTATATCCACTAAAGCCCAGAGTGGCTGGAAACAAATATACATGCTCATATAATTGATATTTTTAAATAGAAGCTTTCCAAAAGGCAGCTGGCAATGACAGATTTCCTCCTAATTTGTTACCTTGCCTTAATCCAATACTATCTTGGATGGGATGAACCTTCATGGATCCATTGCTCTTTCTTACAGCAGATGATTCACTCTCTTCTGTTCTGACACAACACATGCAAAGGATTAATGGACCTTAATTCATCTAATTGAAATCATATCTGTCTATCAAATTGTGTATGCAATAAACATGTGGCTGATTTGAATGGACAATACTAATGATGTTATGCATAGGAAAAGTGAGATATAAGAAGATCTCGAGACTTAACAGACATGGGCTGGTAAGTAAGGGCCAGGTGTGCAAGGTATATCAGGTCTCTAGGGGCCACTGCTTTATCCACTTAGGCTACGCAGTAATATAGAAACAGTTGAATCAATGAGTGATGCAAGGCTTTTAAATCCTCCGCTTTTAAGTGTTCTCCATAAACAATATTTAAGTTACTTTTTCACCTTTGTAGCTGAAATTACACTTTCTCGCTGCTCTAGATCCACTAATCCTCCCCCTCCTCACAGCGTTTGCCCTTACACAGTTTTCTAATTGCTGCCCTGAGGGAGGATTTTATTAACCAGAGGGGGGGGCCTGTTTCCCTGATCTCTCTTGAAAAGACTGATCCTTGTCTCCAGCTAGTCATAAAATAAACCTTCTCCCTTAACCCAAACCTCGTTTCAGTTATCCCACATGCATCCTCTCCAGTGGTGCTTGTGGCTGTGCTGCGCTTTACGGGAAGGAATCAGGTGGGAAGCTTCCTGCACGAGAGAGCTCTTGAGCAAACCGTCCTGCTCTCCCTCAAACACCAACCTTTCCCTGTTTGACTTACTTTGTAATCATTATTCCTTCCAACTGAAAACTACTCTCGCTCAGAGTTCTGGCATTAGCCCTGAGTTATTATTTTTTGCCATTACGTCTTTTGATTTCCTTGATCGAAGGGTTCCGTAGGTGTAGCGCAACACGGAGGCATCAGAAGGCAGCAAAAAGCAGATCTATTTAAATTGTCAAAATTGCTCTTTAGATCCTCTATCTGTCAACAACACTGGCTTTATTCTGAGCAGCCTGATGCGTAATTTCCCCGGCACTTTATAACTTAGCTGTTCGTCTTCCTCAACTCCTATTCCATTATTTATATGAAGTTGTCACTTATACCACTATTCTAAACACTGCTACTCTGCAGCCTTGGGAGCTTTGGTTACCCAGGAAGTTACTGCCTAGGACACGCACTGCAAAACCCCTTTAACTGTTATAATGAAGATTTCTTTTTCTTTTTGGCCTTTTGGTTCTAGGTGTGAAGCAAGCATTGCCAAACTAGCAGGAGACATCAATAGCATCAGGCATGAGGCCCGTAAGACTGATAAAGAGATTTACGGCGTGCGCGCTGCCCTTGAAAAGTCTGTTAGTGATTTTGAGAAGAAGGCAAGTAGAGAAACTCAGAGCGATGATTATGTATTTTTTCCTCTCCAAAGCTGCTGACCAATATTTATGATGGATACAGTATTTAGGCAATTTGTCTGAGTCGGATTAATTAAAACAAGTTTTCCGTGACACTGTGAAACAGAAGGGATGTTTATAATAAATAAATATAGGTGTAAGGTAGCAACAGATAAAAATATTCCGGTATCTGGGGATACTTCTTTCATAAGTGATCCTTTACAGCTCCTCAATCTAAGTCAAGAGGCTCCTGAATTGAAGCAGTGCTCTACATTTTAACTTCATCTGGGAATTTCAGGTGTCAGACTTTGGGAATTAGAAAATGCCACATAAATCCACTGTTTTCACTTTATTTTTAAGGAGCTGGCAAGGAGCCATCTTAACAGTATACTGCCAAAAGTCGTATGGAGTTAGGTATCTCAAGTGCTAGAGACTGTCAAGCTTAAACAGTTCTTTAAAAATGGTTTTCTCCATGAAAGTATTTTTCCTTTTCCTGCATAGAGTGGGTGTGCCAACAGGGAATGAGAACTGCTGCTGCTGCCTCTGATGCCTTAGAGGTGGCCGCTCCTCAGGAGAAGTGCACTATGTTTGGGGGCAGTTTTGGAGCCCGCAGTCTCTGGCAGCATCAGGATCTTTACCAGCAGCATTTCACAGGAGCCCTGCTGTGGGGGAAGTTCAGCTTTTAACCCTGCAACAGGATAGCTCTCAGCTCCAGCTCCAAGCTAAACACCACTTACAGCTGACAGGATTGAGCCTGATAGTAGATATAAGAGACAAAATTTCCTATGCCTTACTATTACCTGCTGCTGTGAAAAATAAGGTCTTATTACTGTAATTTAGCATCATCTTCTGCTAGGCAAGACACAGTTTCAGTCTTTATTTTTTCTTTTTTGCCTTGCTGAGAGAAGCTTCCTCTTATCCAAAGCAGAATTACTCATGACAGACCTTAATTGAAGATATTTTACCTGCAATTCTATTCGAAGATACTGTTTGGACATCTGTCTCCTTGAACACACAAAAAATCCCTCCACTTTCACGTTCATTTTTAAGGAAGAAGGGAAGAGGTGCGTGTCAGAATCACACCAGGCAGCACACAGAAGCACGTAAAAACAAGTCGGGGGAGACATCAAGCAGGAGGGAGAACAAACTTTCTGAGCTGAGGAGTGCAAAATTATTTGAGTGCCATCTCAAGCAAGGAGCAGAGAAGCAGTTTTCTGAAACGGAACCATCTCTCGCTGCAAGAGAATAAAGCAGCAACCAGGAACAGGCCCTTGGTGGCCCAGGCTTAATGCTATTTCCTGACTGCCAGGAGAATTGCTGTTTTCCATGTAGAACATTTTCCCATGGAGCTAGTCCTCAGTAGCTCCTTTTTGCCATTCATGCCAAATAGATAAGAGTATATTTCCCCCAGGTGTTTTCCATGTGTGTAGGGTATAAAAACCTCTGAAGAAAATCCCTGGGATTTCCCACCCTCTCTAATTTATCCTTCCAGGATAGGCAGGCCCTATCCTGAATCCTGGCTTTACACCGTCTTTTAGGATCAATGTCTGTGAAGAACTCTGCAAATGAGTCAGCCCAGGCTGCACAGGCCCAAATCAGGGAGGATTAGGCAATAAATAAATAATTAAAAACATAATAAAATAAATATATATAGTTGTTTTTTTAAATGTAGGGCTTTCCAAGACTGACACCCTGGGTTTACCACCTTTGTGGAGGTTTGCATGGTGCTGGGGGCATTGGGGACATGCTGCCCATCCACCGACGCCCTTGCAAAGCCCACGGCCACACAAGGACTCTGCCTTCAGTAGGTCTCACAGTCCTAAAAGCCTCAGTGACTCAGCATAAGTTTGCTGAATGAAATTCCTCGTGAGAATGTAGCTGTACCTTGATGCAGCTGTTTTTCCTCTCTCACAATCCTATCGCATACTTATATTTAAGTGCTACTAGTTGGACTCATAGAAGTGTTCTCCCTTTAGGTGATGCAGCTATTAGAGAAGATAAAAACTTCCAGCTCTGATCAAAGCTTAAATTTAAAGACAGTCCGGGGAGATCAACATCACGAATTGCAACTTCTGGATTTCAAGTAGGTGATGAAGGGCTTTTCATCATGATAATTCAACCTGAATGCTTTGGTGTGACAAAGGGGTTGCTATGAAACAGCCAAACAAACCTGTTAATTAACATCCATTCCAAACACACAGACAAAGCTAATGAAGATCTGTACTATAAAGTAATGAAAATACATAATGAAAGTCTATTGCCTCGAAAACTAATTGTTAAAACGAAGAGGTGCTAAATGCCACTCTGTAAGAAGAAAGGTGGGAAACCAATTAGCTTTCCACACTTAAAAGAAGGGCATCAAGCACAAAGATGCTATTTACCATCATAATTGGGACTAATTTGTGACTTGCCTAATGTTCAGCACATTTTCTTTACGTGCTCGTGCTGTCTTCCCATATTTTCCTTATGCATTCACGCTGTGTCTTCAGCACGTTTGAAACTGAAGCTCCATAATCCTGCAATAACAATATTGCAGAGGCAAGAACTCTCTCCCTCAAAACACTGGTTGAACTATTTGAATTGAAATTTTACTCAATTAATTAAATCTTAAAACATCTGAGAAAATAATATACATGAGCATGAAGTGGAAAACATGGTTCTTATCAAGAGAACAAGAAAAAGAATAGAGATGAATCAGGAAAATAGCTGAAACTGAGAAGGGAAAAGCGGGAAAGACAGAAGAAATGGGATATGATGGATATAAAGACACCATGAAAGAACTAAGAAATAGAACCAAAATAAGGCAAAAAGAGAAACAGAATAAATCTGGAAAATAAGGAAACTGGAGAATTGAACTGAAGTGACAGTGAATTTTCTCAAAAGTTGCTTAGATCTTATTGAAAGTGGCACCAAAATTGTGAGACTCAGAAAGATTTGGATTTCCAGACCTTAAGATATACTCACATTGTGCCTTTGAACACAAAACCCAAAAGGCTCATTTACTTAAAGTCAAGATTTTATTTCATTTAATATTATATTTAATTAACACCCGCTTTGGGAGATATGTCCGTCTCTTCTGCTATTGCTCCCTTAAAAGCATATCAGATTGATGTATTCTTTTGCAAGAGATGAAATAAAAATTTCAACCTGTTTTGCTGGGACAGGCTGATGCTTCCTCTTGGGAAAAGGCAGTTGGCGTAGGCCAGCTTTGGAGCCCAGTTTGCCTTCGAGAAGATGCTGCCCAGGACACAGCAGTTTGACTGCAGCCCAGCAGTTGAGTTGCAGCCCAAAATGATGTTGTTCCTGCAAGCTGGATGAACTAAGCCCAGGACAAAACTGTCACACAAATTTCCAAAGGATCTGTGCCTCCTTGGAAAATGTGACGCTTATCTTTCAGGTCGCTTGGGGTAGCAGTACCTGCACTCATCACTGCTGAGTTAATTAAGCTGTCAAGAGATTGGTTTACATGTGTGATGGGCTCTAGCTGCAATCCTGGAGGATGCTCTCATTAAATATCCACGAGCATCCCTTCATTAACTCTCCAGAGCTGAGGCAAGTCCTGTGGCGAGCCTGGCTCATCTAGAAAACATTTGTGTCTGGGATCGGAGCAGAAGAAAGATTCACATAATAACAAAAATAATAAAAACACAGCTCTGCAAAACCAATCCCTGATGCCCACAGATATCATGCTCCCTTGGCAGCTCACATGCAGCTGCATCCCACCTTGAGTGCCCCGTCTGAGCTGCGCCGCATGGGCCATCCCACCTCCTCCAATGAACCCACAAGTGCTAACACAACACATCACAAAGCCTGGTTAAAAAAATCCTGACTGGTTTTCCTGGTGGTCTGCATCCTGACTGAGGTCCAAACAGTTAAACCTGCAAATCAGCCCAAATAAAATTCAACTGCTTGTGGACGGCATGTAAGTATATGTCAGAAATTAGAGTAGTTACATTAAATTTTACCCCGAAATGCCTACAGTCAGGTCATGTGCATAAGCGTGAACATTTAAATCTGTGACTCAGACGTGGACCTAAATTCACATCTTGTCACGGCTCACGTTGTAAATTATACATTGCGGCAGAAGAAAAACAGAATCTAAAACATACGGTTCTCCAGACCATGCACTGCTGCTCCAAAGGCGGCTGTCCCTTCTCTTTTTCTTTGCTGGCTTGTGCTTAGAAACTTCTTCTGTCCTTCAAGATCTTCATTTTCTGACCAAAAGTGGCTTTGCTGCTCTTCTACATGGCCTGCAATGCTTCAATAGGTACTATAACCTTTCTTCTTCTGTTTTGGATAATGTTAATTCAAACGGGAACGCTTAAATTTATATTCAGCCCTCAGATATTTTCCCAAAGTAGACCACACTCTAGAAGACTCATCTTGGCATGCAGGCACAACTTTTAAAGAAAGGATTAGTAAAATAATTGAGCGTGGGGTTTGTTAGGCTGATTAAGCAATTTAAAGTAATTTAAACTATCTACTCAAGTGACTCAAACTCCCCCATACTACTGACTAAACATCAGGCCCATTACTAAATAAGTGTGACAGTAATAAAATAATAATAATAATTTCAGATTGACAAGTACTCAAAATGACTTCAAAGCTCAAATACAGGCTCAGCAGAAGTGGACGGAGATGCAGCTGTCGAGGTCCGAGCAAGACCAAGCCTACCACAGGAACCAGCTGCTTCACTCGCTGAAGGAGAGGCTGGTAAGACTTCTCAGAGTGAACCACAAACTGAACCACAAACTGAATCACAAACCTGATCAAACCAGCAAGACCGGTGAACACTGCTAAGATTCCAGCCACTGACAAGGTTAGGGGAGGATCTTCTTCAAGGATCTTCTATGCAAACTCTGATTATGTTCAAATACAGGAATTTCCTTCTCATATTGCAGTCCATATTTTGAAATCTGGCAGTTTCCATTCCATAGCAGCAGCTAGCTTTTGACACAGGATGATTATGTTTTCATCAAGGCCTTTGCAGCATTAAAAGCTTTCTCTCCTTTGCTGCATGTGGTGCTCTCAGTGTCAGGGTGCAAAACCTGTCACAATACTGTCACCAGGTCTTACCACGAGGCTGAGGAAGCAGCCCCATGGTAAGACATGGGAATAGGGTTTATGGGCATTAGGAAGCAAGACCAATTGAATTTGTGGTTGCCAGAAGGCAGTTTAATGGTGGTTTTATGAAAGGTTTTATTATGCATGTGTTGATATGCTGTCTGTCTAAAGGAAACAGCAGAAAAGAGACTAGAAGAGAAACTTCTGGGTCTGTCACTGAAGCTGGAAAGAGCAGACAGGCCGCACAGGTATGAAAAGCAGTTGGCTCAGATGAAGAAGGATGAGAAAGCCCTGCAGGCAAAGATTGCCACCTTGGAAAGACAGGTCTGGGACGAGCTGGAGGAAATGCAACGTGAGTACAGATCAGGTGAGGATGATCTTCCATTTGACTTATTTCTTAAATAAAATTAGCACAGGACTGTAGCTTGTTGCTGCAAGCTTGTTGTTACTTTGCAGTAATGTAAGAGAAATATTAGGATGACTGTTTCTCTCTCCTAAACCCCGTTTACAGGGCTGCTATTTTACAATGGCTTGCTCAGCCTGCCTGTCAGTACAAAGAGCCAACACACTTTTCCCACACAGGTTGCCTCTTTTCCCTAAATGTCTCAAGGTAAGATCCTTTAAAAGGCAGTTTCAGAACCTCTTTTTGAGTCTCTACGATCAGCCAGCTCTTCCATCAGCAGGGTCGCTCACCTTCTCTGCGAGGGGCACTGCCTTTCACCACAGGTCCTGCTGCCAAGCTCCTATTTGACAGGTTTTATATCATTTCCATTTTCATTCTTCCCTCCCAACTCTCAACCAACAGTATCTGGAGACAGGCAACTGGGTGAGTAACAGCTACCATACAGAGCTCGGAGATAACCCAAGTGTAAAAACACATAATTTGGATAACGCTGGTCAATACCCATCAGTTATTGCTTACAGGAAGGGGCATGTTGAAGCAGCCCATGCTCTGACCATTGCATGTGCCAGCTCTCAGCTTGTGCTGGCAGCTCAGCTTTCAGCAGCAGCTGCAGAGGCTTTCACCTGGCGTGAGGCACACTGCTTGCACAAGGAGGATTCGCCCTCTCTAATCCGTCCCGTGTCACTCAAACACGATCTACTGTAATACTTCTCCTTGCATCTCAAGGGCTCTGCACTTCAGCACCAGCTCCAGGGTGCTCTGCACCCCCACCAGCCTCTTGAAGGGCTGGGATAAATCATGCCCTATGTCAGTGGGGGGTCTCTGCAGAGCGTGACTAGGGAGACCTGGCCTATCCCAGAGATCATCTGAGCAAGCACAAGACCACAAGGAGCGATGCCACTTAAAGAAGAGTATCAGAAGATCTTTCAGGTTCTGATGCTGAGCGCGCTCAATTTCAAACTCCTGCCTGCAGAAATTAATGACCCAGGAGATCTGCTTACACCAAACTGGGGTCCTGCTCGCCCTCCACCTCACACACACTGAGGCTCTTCCCCACGGCAATCCTCTAGTATAGGCAAGACACAAAAAGGGAGAAGGAGGCAGCTCAGCGGGTGCAGAGCAGCAGGAGGGCCGAAGAGCAGCTGCTCGTCTTCAGCACAGGCTGGCACCTTGGAAAGGAGAGACCTGCTTGGAATTCATAAACTCTAAGCACCGCGCAGCAATTTGCCTGAGCGCTATCTAGACCGTAGCAGCAACCAACTTGATGCATATTAAACAGTCATTCCAAAAGGAAAAAACCTGCCATCAGCTGTCACATTACCATGCAGGCACTTTTTTTCCCCCCCCACCCATAAAGAAGAACTAACTGCAATCTGCTGTTAGGCTGTTTGCTTGCTAATAAGTTAACATCTATGTGACAAACTGGACAAATGTCAAGTGATTATTTGGTAATTTGAAAGCTGTTGCAGTCTCGAAACAGCCACCTAGCAGCTGCTAAAGATTCACGTTCTCTCAGCCTTCAGTGACAATGGTTGATCTTGCTGGGGTTCAGCAAACAGATGTCTGATGGTCCCTGAGTCTATTTTAGAAAAAAAACCCTGCAACTTCCCTCTTGTTATATTCTTACAAACATACCCTGGTGCACATTGAGGTCCCTTTCTCCCAGCAGCGTGCAAAAACAGTTCTCCCAGTACATAAACAGAGTAAAAAACAGTACCTGCCTTGGAAGGAGTATAATTCTTGCTTTCACTTGCCAAAAGAAATACTTGCAAAGCCATCAGGACCCTCAGCTCTATGGGGGACATGGTACTGTCCTCACTCCACACAAGGAAGGCGAGCGCAATGGTTGTTGGCAGCCCTGTGCAGTCAGTCCTGTTCGGTGCTGCCCGCTGCATTCCCGGAGCAAAGCTCTTACAACACAAACTGCTCACGCGTAGCTATGGCATCCAATAAAGTAATGAAATAACGAGATTGGATTTGTTGTGCTGGGAACTAAACGATGGTCAGAAACCTTCACAAAGGAAAAGTAGGATCTCTTAACGTACTGAAAGCAACCACTACTTAATTAAGTCTTCTTGTTCTTATACCAGGATTTCGGTCCATTCGTGAGTCTCTGGAACTGCTCAGACAAATACAGAACACAAAATTGAAACTTGAAAAAAAGAAAATTCGGGAAGACGTGACAAACTTATGACACAACTGCAGTCCCTGAAGCCCAGCCTGCAAGAGCAAGGCCTTACTAGCACCAGAAGGTACCTCTCCACCTACAGGTCACTATAGTTTAAAGAAGAAAACAAGAAGAAAAAATAAAAGAAATTTTTAAAAAGTTAAGAAACACCTGCTTTTGTTTTTCCTATCCCTGTAGGATGTTATTTCTATGTATCATGCTCTCCAGCCCCAAGTGTAATGGTTCTGCAACAAAGAGCCTTTATGAGCTGATTTTAGAATAAAAGTTATTCCAGTCTAGAAGAGGAGAAACACAAACACTCATCCTTAAGGATTGACATAATTTGACAAACAAATTTCATAGAAAGTCTTCAAGTTATATTAAGGATTTTTAGAAATCCATTGTCAACGTTGAGAGCACTGTTAGGCCAGACTTACCCTGAAGTGGTAGGTTTTAGGTTGGTACATAGGCTGAAGTCAGACTTAGTAAATTCCCACTTCCACTCAGCACATATAGAGTAGCAGTGTTACGAAAACTGATAACAGATTATGTTTGCATGATTTTGACTGATCATTAAAAAAATGTTATTTGATCATCAAATGTAGCTAAGAAAGAAAAGAGGGTGCAGGCGACAATGCAAGTTATTTATGAAAAGATGCATTTTTAAGAATCTCATCTTCATTTCTGCGTCATTGCAATAAGCTTTTGGTGGGTAGTGCTTAACACTCATATTTTTGATTTGCTTCAAAAATTTGAAAATAAGAACAACTCCTAGGCATAAGGTAAAATTCACATCAGTATATTCTCTCAGCAGATCTTGAAAGAGGTTTCTCAGCCATGAGATAAAACATGATCATGAAGAAAAGAAAAATGTGAATTTTTGCAGTTAAGCTTTCTGAAAATAAGTATTTGATACCATCCATCTTCAGGAAAAGGATATTTAAGGAGACTTCTTGTGCGTTTTACCCTGGAAAAAAAAAAAAAAAAAATCTCCAAACCAGCCTCCTGGCTGCCTGGAGAATCCTGACCTGCACAGCACGACCGCTGAAGCTGGACTGCTCCACAAGGCAGGAGCTCCCTTTCAGCGAAGAACAACCCTCCTCCTGCACGGAGGGCCTTTCCTATGCTAAAATTTCTCCAGAGTGTAAAAACTCCTAGAAGCCACTCTTACAAAAGCAGCAGTAGCAACCAAAGTCAAAGAAATGTTTGCACTTTGCTTATGGTCAGTGCCTTTCAAGAAAAACTCCAGCAGAAGGAAAATTAAACTCATGCCAGGGCACATTCAAGGGGGCTGCAGGATTAGGGGTGCAACTTCTCCCTGCAAAGGGGCATTTGTGCAGCACTGAAACAGTTCTCTACATCTACATACCCACAAACTGAAAAAAGTCAAAGTTGCTCATCACATAAAGGCATCTAGGAACTGAAGTACACATTTGTGCCTTTGTTCAAACTGTTAGTAGGAGGAGAGGGAGAAAACATAAGCACCAATATCTTATTGGAAGTCAGTAAAGTTCTGCTAAGGAACATAATTAAAAGAAAGCGGGGAAAGTTTTTTTTCCCCACCTCCTTTCACATTAGTAATAGCCAAGCATATGGTTTTCTAGTTAGTGAAATCCATAAACCAACTCTCTGTTCTCCTTCACAGTGATGCTTAGAATTCAAAGTACTACACAAAAACACATAAGGGTGAGCTCTATATTACTATAAAATATTTAGTACTACTATTTCTTTGGTAGTTCTTCAAACCTTCTGCAACTGTGGATTTTGCAGAGGCTGTGTATAATTCAAAATAGAGGAGAGCAAGCCTTTTACCTCACAGTTTCTTGAATTTCACAAAATCTTCGGTTGAAACTCATTCCCTGTACGCTTTTCACCAAGTAGGTGGCAGAGGTGGGTGTTCCTCCTGCAGGACATTTAATGCAGCTTTGGGCTGTACGTACAATTATCTGGTTCAAGGAACTCACCACTGCTCATATGGAAAATGAAGCAACTTCATGGTCTTCTGAAGAGAAAACATGATACTATGTTTTGAATATGCAGAATAGTCACAGTTGACACTTGCTCAACTGGCTTCTCTAACCTCGATATTCACTTCCTCCCCTAGGCCTTGGAAAATGTTGCAGGTTTAGTACTGAAGAGAACACAGCCTAACAGCCTGGTAGAGGTATTTCTGTAGTGCCTTAATGAGGGTGGGCAGCAAGCTCCTATAATCAGTCATCAGACTAGGACTGCTGGCTCTACCCCCACTGAGGTAGGTAGCACAGAAATAGCAAGAGCAAATACAGTGCTATGAACTATAGGCTGCAAGAGCTCTCAAAGCTATAATTGTTGAAGGCTAAAAAAAAAAGTTAGAGCTAATCTGGGGAGGCAACATTCCTCTTAGTACTTCAATTCAGGAATCAATCAAGACTATGTGACAACAGGCTTTGAAGGGAACCACAACTGGTCTAGATTTAAGAAAAAGGATCTTTTTAAGGAAAGGTATTTCGTGTTGAGATAGGTGGGAGAATGATAGTGTGGGAGACAAGGAGGGACTCTTGCCATTCAGAGAGCTCACCTCCGCAGAGCACCCAGGCTTCCTTTTCCTGCTCAAAATAGCAGGGCAGCCTTGCCTGCCTCCCATGGATCAGCGTGCGTGACTGCCAGCAGAGACGTACACGAGTCCTCCCTAGATCACCCCACTCGTCAGCTCAGCAGCCTGCGCTCTGTAAAGCCCAAAATAGCCAGTCCTGAAAGCAAAGAGATGCTGAATTCAGCAGCACGCTGCATGCATTGCACGTGTCCTCTCCCCTCTGCAATAAGAGGTGCACCGCACATGTCTCAAAGATTGCAGTAGACAGATGGTGGCTTCAGGAAATTTTAAACCAGAAATGGACAACTATCCTGACTGTTGTCAACAGCTTGAAAATCCACTGACAGTAACGTTACTAGATGAGAATCCTTGCTTTATTCTTTTATTTTAATGTACATAAAGGGCAAAATAACATCATGTATTAAGAACCACTGTCATGATTCATCCAATTAAGCAATCAGCAACAAAATTATCAAGACATAAATAGAGCCCACTATACACATTTATATATGTGACCCTGTCCCTGATGATCACAGGCTTTTCTTGATGGGAATGTTTACTGAAACCTGTATAGTCAAGAGGATCCAATACACTGTTGTGATTAAGCTTAGCTAAGAAAACAAAAAAAACCCATCCTGTAAACTGACAGAAAATAGAGTTCCAAGTGGATTTGGGTCTCAACTACAAAACAAAATACACTAAAGGAATATGACATTTGTGTTTATTTGCGGCGGGGGGAAAGGAAGGAAAGAAAAAAGAAGCTTCTTCAATTTTGCGTCACTGCCAAAGCAGCTAATATTGTCCTTCTCTGTGTGCAACCAAGGGGGAAAAAAAGAAAAGGGCTTCCCATTGCAATAGCACTGCAATTTCAGTGGGGAATAAAACATGGTAGTGCCCATGTCAACAAGTAAACTACCAGCTTTTGTTAAAAAAATAGTTGGTATAGAGACAAAAAATACAAACAAATTAAAAAATATGCTAGCTAGACAAGCTCCTGGAGAATGGCCTAATTAAATGATGTAAATGAAAGATTTTTCACTTGAAATAGTCCATACTAGGCACTTGATGACAATTTCTCGTTTAGTTCCAGAACTCGAACATCTCCATGAGCTTTTGCGTTTTCTACAAGCACCTGCAGAGAAAATAAACAGAAAATTGAGAACCTGACGTTTTTACTGTTAACATATGACCAGTTCTTTCAAGAGAGTTGGTTTTTTGTGTGTGTTTTGGGGTGTTTTTTTTTTTTTTGTGCACTTTGCCTAAAAATCTAAGTAACCTGCAAGTCCAGACAGGGAAGATATTCAACACGACACGTAGCTCAGACATCAAGCTCCGAGGTTACAATCACTTGCAATGCAGCACAGCAGCATCATTTGCTGCTTGTGGCTGAGAAAAGGTTTCACAAGTTCCCTGCTGACACAGAAGCGAATACGCTCGCTCCGTTTTGGCAGGCCAATTTGTGCATTTGGTGCACCTATTTAAACAAAACTGCTGATTTTCTTTCTCCTCCCCTCCGTCCAATTTAGAAATAAAATTAGGACAGACTACATCTATCACTTGTATTTGCAGCCTTTCTAGCCTAGCTAAAATAGCTGCCACATCAGTCTAATGTTTACAGATGTGCCAGGAACTTACGACACTTCTCATATATTTTTTAAAAAGTAAATCATGACTCTGGCCATTATTTTTTTCACACCAGGCACCCACTTGTAGAAAGTACAGATGGCTGCCCACAAGTAAACCTAATGAGATCATACCAGAATCATCTGAACTCATTATTTCTGGCTCTTTTAAAGACCTGGATGATTGCACATGGATTTTTGTCAATGCTGAGCCTACTTGATATGTTTTAACCTCAAACATACTCCATTACTGATTCAGAATTTAACTAAAATATAGTGCTTAGCAAGGGCAAAGAGCTCATTGTACCAGGGACAGCAATCCAGAATGGCAGAGTCCTCCTAGTAGAGGGTATTAAAGTTTAGTGACAAAAAATGACTCCAATTCCAATTGCAAAAGTAAACAACCTTAGTTTGCCATATGTGAAAGTGCTGTGTGGATTTGCAAGTTAGACCAGTATTTGTCAAGTACTATACATCAAGAAATAGTGCACTGTTACAGTATAGTACCTGTGCGAAGTGTAGAGTCATGGCAAACTACTGCTACGATTTTTCAGGTCAAGGAGCCACACTATTTCCAGCTAATCTCAAAGGAATTAGCGTTTTATAAAGCACTAACATGTTCTGGCAAAATTCTGATACATTGGTCCTCTTATCTACTGGAAAGAAGCATGTAAAACTTTTTCCATTTTGCGTTAGAGAAAGATTTTAGTGTGGTTTTCATTAGTATTGCATGGAGGAAGAAGACTTGTATGCAATTTTGAAAACTGAGGTGATTTTGCCAACGAGGAATCCTCAGACCTACAATCTGAAGAGCAAGAGAGTTGCAACCTCCC